AAACCAAACCCTAAAAAGGCAAAATACTGTATTTAACTACAGCTCAATCAACACACTGTGGACCCACCAGCAGCTTTGCCACACCACTCACCCCTTAGGCTGGAGAGTGCAGGATGTCATTAGGATCCTATGCACTGGGAGGAACAGCATCTCAGGAAGCATCTCCACTCACTCGTGCTGGTTCATTCATTTAAGGCAGTTTCTTTATCAATAATACTGAGGAGCACAGGGCACTGAGAAAATGGCAAGGAGGGTAGCTGGATTTACATGGCAGATTTCCTCTCCCGCAGCTGCCGGATGAGTGCAACACAGTGTCTGAAGCATGAGTGGTTAAACAATCTACCTGCCAAAGCCAGGAAGTTCAAGCTTCGCCTGAAGTCACAGTTGTTGCTGCAGAGTTACATGGCTCGCAGAAAATGGAAGGTAAATAGACAAAGTCTGGCAAATCTGCTTCCAGAGGGAAAATCAGCTCAACACAGGCAGCGCCATTCTCTCCTTTTTTCTATGTTGGCTCACTTTTTTGCCCACAGGCTTCTTTCTTGTAAATACGAGTTTGGGAGGTCTATTTTCAGTTGTAAACTAAGCTTTTTCTCCTGCAGAATGATACTGCTTCTATTTTTAACAAGTTTGTTTCAATTTTTACTCCTGATTGGTGTTTAGAAGTTTTAACGTTTTTTTTTCTTTACAAGTTCAGAGACTTCAGATGCTGCTTAGCTTATATTAAATGTTCTTCCTCTTCATATTGGAGAGGTTTTTTTTCCATTGACAACAGTTGCATTGTTCTGTTGTCACTATGGAGTAGAGATACAACATAAGGCAGCTTTGTGCCTCCCGTTACAGAGTGGAAGTGTGGGAGAGAGGAAAAAATTAGGCTTAAACCCATCCAGAGAACTCTTCAGGACCTTTCTGATAACCCCATGCTCCTTCAGAACTAAATTTTATATGAAGAAGCGATAGATAAGAATTTCTATTGGAGTCTCTGTTGGACTGGATAATCGACCCTGAAAGGTGAACACAGTGATCTTGTTACAAATAAGCCTGTGGAAATGTGAGGAAAACTCAGTGAGGACCACTTCCTTTTCTTTTGTCACTAGAGCGTTGTAATTCCTTGCCAAGGATTTAAACCAGAGGCTTACACTTTTTCCACTTCTGCACTCCAGCTGTGTGGTTGCAGACTTCTGCACTTGCATTTTAAAAAATGCATAATCTAAACACATATCACTATACAATTCGTAATAATGCTGCAATATTATTATTCATAATAAAGTTCACAGTACCAGCAGTCTGTTCTGCAGTAATCAGTGGTTCCCCAGTACAAAGCTGTTCTGCACTGCAGTCCACACAAGGTGTGGGTCACTAGAGGTAAATGGATTTACCAAGAAGAAAAATCCATGTCACTTGGACTGTTCTGTTTTGTTCACAGAAACATTTTTATGTGGTGGCTGCTGCTAACAGGCTGAAGAGATTTCAGAGTATGTCTGTCAAGCTTGCATAAGCTTGTATGAAGCATCTACCACTCTTGGAGATGGACATGAAGCCATGGAAGAAGGACTCGGTATCTTCAATAACTTCTACTCCTTTGTTTTATAACATAAGGTTTTGGGTCTGCCCTCCTCAAATATTATGTTAGTGCTAAGGTTCCAGAAGTGCCTCAAGGAAGAGGCACTGAAATAATTTCTAAAAGCAGAAGCTACCTTGTTTGTTTTTACAAGCTTTTAGTAGTTGTACATAGTGATGTTACTGGGGCTGACTTCTTGCTGAAGGCTTTGATTTTGCAGACTATTGTTGGTGTGTTTACACTAGAAGACACCTTGTCAGTTTTCTGGTTTCTCACACCAAGCACGGGAACTCTAAAGACTTTCTTCATGACCAGTGTATGGCATCAATTCTAGAGCACTGCCACAACAGTGGCACAATTTTTTCCTTGGGTGTTTGTTACTGAGAACAAAAGATATTGGATATCCTTTTCTTCAGTAATTTTTTCAAAACGATTTTTTTCCCCCAAACATGATGATGATTCCGTGCAACTACTCAGAGTTGAACAGTTTTAGTTCGTTGGGCATTTTTTTTTATTCTACTCTCTCCTTTCAAAAATCGTCACTGCATAGTTAGGAAATATGAGGAATCCAGCATTGAAGCAACTTAAGTCAGTTGGTCCACTGCTGCTTTTTCTTATGGTGAGTTGAATTGAGCTGAATTGATTAAACTTTTGGAAGGAGATAGGTGAAACTGCCACAAATAAAAATCACCTAATGACCATTGGGTCTATGCAAAAAGATCTCATGTTGCCCAGAAAAGACAAGATTTCCAGACATTGTTTTATATGTATTTAAAACTTGTAAGTGCTTCTCATTGCCTGTGACTACAGCCCTTAATTTTTTAAGTTTTAGTTTGAGGATTTTTTTTCTCCCCTCTGACAATTTTAATGAAGTTTGAGAAGTTGATATGGTGTGATATACAAAACAGGTTTTATTGATGTTCAGTGGTAGGGAAACAGCGTGTTGCCAGACTGCCTTTAGCCCAATTAGGAGGTTGGGGTCTGTTCCCCCCCCCCCCCCCCCCCCCCACTTTGCTCTTGAACATTAAACGTTTTCTTCACAATACTAACTTATTTTGGATTTTAAACTTTTTCCTAATGTATAAAGAGTTGGAGCCACTTATGATCTCTCAGCAAAAAGTATAACATTATTTATTAAACCTGTGATTTCCTTTATTCCTGTTATAGATTTTGCAAAACTCAGTGTGAGCTGGATGGGCTTTTAAGAAAAACAGAAACTAATACTACTAAAACTAGCTTTCCAGCAAAGGCATGAAACCACTGTAAAGCTCCCTTTAACTTTATGGACTTTCATGTCCCTTGAATTAGCAAAAGTGTTGGCTGCTAATAAAGAGGTTTGTAAGACTGGCTTACCCTAGTCTAGTTATCTTTTCCACTCTAGTGCTTTGCACTGTGCACAGTCCTGAATTCTGGACTTCTGCAGCATTTCCAGAATTGAGACAGAAGAATTAAAATCAAGTGAAATAATCTTGACAATGTATCACCTTCTGTGAAGGCCCACTTTTGTTCATGTTCTCCTTCCCCGGTGGTTCTGCATGCTAAATGTGATTGTATTAATTGGTCTGTATATTTCTGAATTAATACTAATAAATTTCATTAAAGTGGAACAAGCCTATTCTTCAATTTTGGTTTCAACCCCCCTGACAAACAAACCTTGAAAGCATGTCTGAGCAGGTCTTAACAACAGAATGCTAATGTACGAGGTTGGATTCTCTCCCATCCTGAGGACCCTCTGCTATGTATTAGATCAGACTTTAAATGGCAGACATTTTGTTACAGCTCTTACTCAGTATGGGTTAATTATCCAATATTTTATCTGCACATCAGGCATTTGTTTGGAGTCCATTCCCCAAGAGTTACTGTTACATTTCAGAACTCTCATCTGGAATGAAATAGCTCTTGCTAATTAAAGTAAAGTTGGCTTCAAGTGCTTTCCTTTTTCATGCATTGGGAGGAGAAGTGAAAGGAAAATGGCCAGTAAGTTTTAATTTTCCAATTACTGTGTGCTGCTTCCTCTATTTTTGTAAGAGGGTAACACACAGATGCTCTCTGCTGTCTTGTACGTATTTCCTCTCCGTTTTCTACAAAGAGAAGGTGCATCTGCCCAGCAGGATTGCTATTCTGTTTCTAATAGAAAGAAATCCCTTTAGATTCGGCAGCCATCACATGGTTCTGCAGTACAGTGGAACCCACCTCTGCAGCCTTATGGGATGTTTCACCATGTCCTATGCATTTTGCTTTGGGGTCTACAAAAAGCTAAAATGATGAACCACAGGTGACCTGCAAGTCACTGGAACAGTAAGTATGACAAAAAGAACTGGCCCCATACACTGATATCTGAAGCAGTTAATGATATCAATCAACTATTGTAAACCTGGTGCGATCAGTGTCACCCAGGTAAGCAGGGAGCATGCACAGCAGTGAGGCATTTGGCAAGCCATTAAAATACTGCTGAGAAGAAGCTCAGGTGGGGGCAGTGTTTCAAATCTAAATGCTCAGACATGAGATAATTTACCTTGCTTCATATGGACATGTGGGGTTTTCTGGGTTGTTTTGAAATGAGGGTTTATGAAAGTTAACTTCTCTTTGCACATCCCAGGCAGAAAACATGCAAGAGAAGCAAAAGACTTAAGCCAAAGACTTAGACTGGTTTTATTATAGTTACACCAGCCCTGTACTGCTAAAAGTAATGATTTTTACTTCAAAAAGTAGTTAACACAAATGGTAGCTTGAGTAGCTGGGATGAAAGCGTAGGACCGCAGACGTTGCCTCCAAGAACTACAGCACAGGGCTCTTTCTCCTATTCCCTAAATTTATGACTGCAAGATGCAAAAAACCTGTATTACCCAGACAAGATCCTTGCCCCCTGGATATCTTCCTTCTTAAAGCACAGACATCTCCTGTACATCTTTTATGTGGCGCTCTAAGGGTTTTATATATGACAAGTGCTAAGAACCTGGTATCATAATACAAAGCTTTTCCTTCCAGTATTTTTATTGTTTCTTGGAATATTTGGGACCCCTTACAAGTACAAGAGACTCCAGTCCCATACAGGTCATAAAAATAAGTCAAATTCAGTGACTAAACAATGTTTCTTCAATAATAATAATAATAAAAAATTATCAGTCTTAATTTCTCTGCTGGTTTTGCAGTTTAACAAGGCACTGTTAGTCCCCTCCCTCTTTTTTTCACTGACTACTTCCAGCCAGGGGCCCAAGGGCATACTTGTAACTTTAACACTTAACACAGCATTAGAAGGTTACCTGCTTCTTGCAGCAAGAGAATTAAGCTATTCTACCACCTAATGTCAAGCTGCTCAGGTACCAGCCTGGCGAGTAGTCAGATAGGCTTCTTGTAAAATCATCTCAATTCTGGTGTCATTTACTAAAAATAACATTCTTAAATACTTAAAAACTAGCTAATAAATAAAATCAGCTGGCTACCAGGCAGCCATCACTCATGCTACTGGAACTCTTGTTAGAGCAGAGGGAGAGTTAAAATTATGAGCAAGCAGTAGTTACATTACTAGGTGGCACTACAGAGACAGTACTCCTACTTGTCTCTTGTGCCTTAGCAGCATTTTCCAAGATTTTCTTTTTCCATTCTTCATAGTCTTGCTTTGTTTCAGTCTTTGGCCGTTTGCATGGCATCTCCTCATCATCTTCAGATCCTATGAGAGAAAGAGAAAGTCCATGACAGGCCCTCACGGGCAATGTGTCGCTGGGAATAACCATGGCAGTGAGCAAATGTACAGACTTGAGCACAAGGTCTGTCACTGTGTTATCTAATGCTGTAGTCTGCTGCTCCCCTCACCTGCTGGAAGAGTCACCTCTTCACCTTTGTGTCTGAATGGAACAGTTGTCCTTAATTCTACTAGGACTACTCAGTATAAACACCATTGTCCTTTCATTAGACAGTGGTTTGCAGAATGGAGTAAGCTGCTGTGAACTGAATGTTATGGCATGTTACACAACTAAAATACTAAGCAGCAATAAGGCTCAGAACTGCTCTGGTGAGGTGATTTTAGTTCATAGCTAAACACAACTTACCATCTTCCTTCTCACAGGGCTCCAGGTTGGTCTGCAAGCTTTCAGGTGTCTCTGCAGCCAGTGGAACATCATCTTCTAAAATAATAAGCAAGCTGCTTTACTTCTGAATGGTGTTTGGGGCCCCAAGGGTGGTGTTGTACACGCAATTCTTTGACAGCAGTGCCACCTTCCAAAAGTATTCTCTCCCAGTCAGAGCGGCTCCCTGGTCCAGACTGATGCTCAAGCTGTACACGCAGAGGTGCCAGCACACTTCAAGGGTTGCACGGACTGGTTGGCTGCTTTAACTAGCACTGCTGCTGAATTTGTAACCACAATGATCCACCACGTTCATACCCCAAAACCACACTGCTACCCTTCTTGATTACTCAGGCAGGATTATCAGTTATTTCTTCCGCTTCTATCCCATTTCCACAGTTTGTATTATAGATGCCCACAACACATGGGGGGCTGTCCATGTATACAGATGCACGCTCTGCCCTGAACTGATACAGAAACTCCCAGCTGCCTTCAGCTGCTTTAGTGGTAGGGTAAGGTTTTGGGTTTTTTTTTATAGGGCACTGCACTATGGCAAGGTCCACGCCTAGGAAGAGAACAGCAGCTTTTGGTTTGGGTTCAGGCAGCACATTCCAGAAAACTTCATGATATGGAGCGTGAAGACAGGGTGAAGCAGGGGTGCTGTCAGTGGGAGAATAAGAATGAAAGCCTGCGAAAGGAAAAAGGAGATAAGTAGGAAGGAGCAGAGATAGAAGGACGGGAAGGCATGTATTGTATTTCAGTCTTCCCCCTCCACAAAAAGGAGTGGAGAGAGCTGCAGGTTCAACAATGGGCAAGAAAGATTCCTTGTGTCTGCCCACTGTATGTGGAGGGATGGTGTCAGGTAATGGCTGAATTACTACCAGAAGAGCAAGGCTTAGGCTTGTTAATCCTGCAGTGGGAGAAAGGAAAACACAGAAGTGAGTCAGTCAAAGCAAGAGAGGTAGCAAGATGTTTATGTTAATTTGTGTGTCATGTTGCCATGTTAACAGGATGCAGAAAGCAAGCAAGAAGGAGGAATCCATGATAGGTCAGGTAGTATGGGAGAAGCAGGGAATAAATTGCAGCAGCAGAGAATGTAAGGAGCAGTGAGCATTTGAGAAGAGAGGAAAATATTTATTTTTGGCCTTGCCACATGCTAAGCTATTGTGACTTCCCCAGAAGCAATGACTGTGACTGGGAACTGGGCTGCAGGTAACACGTTGGAATGCATGGGCAGGTTTGGCTGGAAGGGGACAGCTGAGAGCGGTCAGAAGGAAATCACCAGTGGAAAAGGATGGGGCACTGTGAGGCCAGGTGACAGGTATGCTGTCTTACAGGGATAAAGCCAAAAACTTACTGCTGAGTGGCTGGCTCATCTTCTCCAGCTGATTGCACAGCCGGTCAAATATTGCTTTTTTCACCCCAGATGTAGCCAACATTTTAGTTTTGTCCACTTTTAGCTTCAAACACCTACAAAAGGAAGTTAAGTTATCTCTGTACAAACCAATGCTCCAGCAACTATCACTCAGGTGAGGTGATGTTTACTGTACCAACACTGCCTGTCAGAATGAAGGAGGCAGGCCTGAGTTTTTGTCCTATCTAATCCTTGTCTCACTCGGAAACAAATTTGCTTAAAAAAATAGACCCCTACACTAATCAGTCAATACACCTTAGGAATTGAAACTCAGGGTTAGTTCAAGTTATACAAGGAACCTCTATTAAGAAAAGGTACTTTTCAGATTCTGAGGGAACCAGGACAAAATCCCACTACTACAAAAAGCTGAATGGGACCCCTGTGTCAAGAGAACATTTGTCAGGAGCTGTGCAACTACACAGCACCTGAATTGCTTCATAAGATTGTTACAAGGTGTAATACTGAAAGGGTATTGTATTGCATGCAAGCAAATTCTTACAAAGGGTTGGCTGAGTCAGGTGCTCCTGACACCTATCTTCCAAGCTGATACAGGCCTACAGCTATTAGATCCATCTCCCAAAGGTTAGAGCACTCTCAGGATATGATGGGGTAGGGCTTAGGGCTTTTCCTTCTTCAGAATGGCTGCTTCTTGGTGCTCATAAGTAAGCTGGCAGCCATTCTTGCACCTTGAGCAGTATCTCACGAAAAGCCATGCAACTTCTTGCTTTGTGCCCAGCTCAAATCTACCCTGACAATGGAAAAAACCCCTCACTAACTCTGAAAATGTTACTAAGGGATTATGTTATGCTCGTTAAGCTAAGAGGAAGGAGGGTGAAGTGCAAAACACTAACAGAAGTTTTTCAGCCACTGCCATGGATATGTCCTAACGGAATTACCCACAGCATCCAACTATGCACCAGGGAAGACAGGTTTCATTTATTTTAGGATAAGTAACTCAAGATCCTTTTCTGTATATTTGATACAATACTTCTGCTTTCTCCTGAAGGCAAATGCAGTGTAGGTTGGAGACTTCACTGTAAGGAAAGGCCTGGTTTGCTACAGCTGTCTCCATTTCCAGGAGTAGGGCAGCAGGATGTGCTAAGCAAGACCCTTCAGACATACTGAATGAATTGGCTGCTTATATTGTAAGCACTCTTTCTGTTTGGTGTCTCACTAGGCATTTAGGCCTCTAAAAGATCCCTCAAGTTATACTCACTTGCATGCTGTGAATAGCGCAGCTGTTATAAAAAGTGGTTTTGAGAAATCAAGGTCCATTTGCTGTGCTTCAGAGAGGCTGGATTCATACCTAAACAACAACAATAAAAGTGATAATTGTATAGTGCATTTGCCTCAAACGAAGCTGTTGAAATTAATTTGTCACATGATACTCAGCAGTTGAACAGGTCTCCTGTTGGATCACTTGGTCCTTCGCAACCCAGTCAAGCAGAAACAGCTGCTACTGGCTGAGAAAAGCAAAAGACTAAGGAAAAGAAGGGGACTGGGATCACCTCCTCTTTTTGAATGAAAGGTATTTTAAATTAGGGATCTGGATCGAGGCATGTCAGTAAAATCTATTTCTTGTGCTTCTCATCCACACAGCACTTCTATCTCTACATTACATCTAAATGTTACAATGAGATGCTTTGCATAAATCCATCCTATAATAGAGGGTAGAATTACAGTTTCTTTGATTCCTCTAATATGTATATTACACAGATGAGGGCTTAAATATGGAAAATGACACAGTGGATGTGCAGCACTGAAGGATTTAATTTTTTATTGTCCACCTGTCCCCAGGTTTGTATTAAGCACCAACAAGCATACACAGCCTTTGTTCACTGACCTAATGGCATTTAAACACGTGCTGTCAGGGTGACAGCACTCCAGAACAGAGCTCTTCCGTGATTGCTCTTGTTAAACTAGATGTTACAGAGTGCAAAATTTTAGTTAAATCTGTTGAATCTCCATTGAAGCATTCTACCTATTGTTTTTACAGGTAGAGTAATGTGCATTTTAAGAGATCTGCTTCTCCAGAAGGGAGGATTTGTTTCTACTGAGCATTACATCTGAACTGTGACATGATCAGCAGTTAAATGGAAGACAGTGTGATGCTATGGACTAATACAGGGACTAAGAGTCCTGTATTTTTTACACTATTCCCACTTGAAGAACTGGGACTCAGACAATGACTTACTGAGATTCACAGACTAAGTCTTTCTAACATGTATTCTAAAAAGTGGCCTAGATCAATGGCTGGATTGTCAGTGCTAAGAACTCACCTCACCACTCCAGTCAGTGGGAGATACCTGTCCCTTCCAACCCTCAAGCTCTTTACACATCGAACAAACAAAGAACCTTAGTAGTGGTTACCAGTGTACTCACAAGAGCTTCCTCACCTCTGCAGTATTTTTGAAGCGGTGTTCACTGCCTCTGTGCAGCAGAATTGCACAGCCAAGTCTCGCATTCCCAGCCTGGGGTTCACCTCTAGCAAACACTCCAAAGACTTCACGGAGCTCTGGTAGGTAGTCTTGTTCAATCCGGAGAGTTTAACAAAATAGCTCTTTCAAGAGGACAAAGACAAGTGCCAAGAATTAGCCAGATTCCTTCCCAACATCTTATTCAGGCAACTCAAATAGATTAGGGAGAAACTACACAACATCATAAAATAAAGTTCAATTTCTATATTAAACAGATTTGTGCAATGAATGATGTAAGTTTTGACTGCACACAGAAAGATTAACCACCTAGGAATGCCACATCTTTTAATGCAGTGTTATTTTTAGACTATGTCACTGGAAGTGAGGTTTGTCTTTTCTACATGATATGACATGGCCCTTTTATCACAAGGTAGTTAAAAACAAAGGTAGCCAAGATCTGGGCAACTTGAAGAGATGAGCAATACTTTCATGCTACTCCTCACGGGGTCAGGTCCACTTAAATTCTCCTCTGTCTGTGAATGGACAATCACGAACATCATCTACCAGACATTATTTTGGCAGCTCAGTGAAATTACCCAGCAGGTCTGCAGATGGAGGTTTACAGGTACCACTACAGAGAAGGATTCCTTGGAGCCACTGCTTCCCTCCCACAGTAAAAGGGACAGATCTTAAATTTCACATCCTTGCCAGTAGTTTATTTGTTACTAAAAGAGCTGAAACCATAGCAAAACAAGCTCAGCTTGTGAAGTGACTATGACACTAATCTCAATTCGCCCTGTTTCAAACTCTGAGTAGTGAAACCTACTGCGTCTACCAGTACGCTACTGGGTCTAGGGTAATGTCAGTTATTACTGTCCCTTTATACAGTACATAGAACAATGATTTTAGTGGACTTATGGAGGATGCACCAGCCAGCCAAGTCATATACGGAATCTTACTTTGTCAACTGGTTGTTTCATGAAGCTAGCTGCTAGGTCCAGGCACATCACAGCACTGCTTGTTGCTGTCATTTGAGCCATTAATCCCGTGCATTTCACCTGGGATAGCCGCAAATACTCTTCAGCTTTTCTGCAAAACACCCAGCATACAAAGCCCTCATTAACAAAACCACAGTTACAAAACAGTAAGAATGGCAGGGCAGGAACTGATCCAAGGTTTACCTAGTCCAGCACCCCGCCTGCAGCACATGCTTAGGGAAGGGGGTGCTAAACAGTACGGCAAACACGGGATAATACTGCCCCTCCTCTAATAATTAGAAGCAGTAGCTTTGCATTTCATAGTCTGCAATGGCTGTCTCATTAACCGCATATACCTTAAGGTCTGTGACTTTTGCACATCGACCAGAACCAAAGAAGGAAACCGGTGGCGGGCTGGCGTGCTGAGGGGGTGAAGCAGCCCTGGGCTGCCGCTGCTGTGCCAGGAGAGCTACCAGGGCCGGGCAGTGCCCCCGGGAGGGGCCTCAGCAGGCCAGGCGGCTGGAGGGGAGCGGGCCAGGCCAGCACCGCGCGGCTGGACCCGCTCATCCGGACGG